CTCTACCAACAAGTCAGGTGGGGCAGGTGGACCTCCCAGACGAGCCGTTTTACAGATTAGTCTTCGTAGTTCTGTCATGTCACCAGCTCGTTCACAACTCTCTGAACACAGTCCTGCATCTTGCAGGTTGAACTATTGTTTGGGCGTTGACTTGTTTTTGGGAATAACCTTCGCCTTTCCAACCAAAGAAGGCAATAACTTCGAAACGAGCAGTTTGTTGTTATTGATCGCGATTACCAGTTGGATTACCGTTGAAACGAACACTGAAAGAAAATATGCTGTGAATTCCCGGGAGTACAACATTGGAATTATTCCGACGACCTTTCAGAATCAGAATTTTATGGGACGACAATTCACCAGTCTCGTTTCGAATGCTGTTATGAAAGGTTCAAACATCTCGATATGGTTGTTCATCGTTCAGAGGGTTGTTGATGTTTATGGGCTTTCCCAGGCATCGTAGCTCGTGATGCTCGGCCCCTTCGAGGGAGTCTATTATAAAGCGGGGCCTCCCCTCCGCCAACAATCTCCCACGCCGCCTCAGTGTTGTTCACATGTCGAACGTGCTGCTCAGCACGTGCATGGGGCTGTCTGCACGGGGGGCCGCCGATCGAAATCGCTCCAGCATAGCACAGCAAGAAAAAAGAGGGCAGCCATCTGCAGCCTTTGCACCCGCTTTTCTATCAATTCATCGCGTGAGGCATTCTTCTCGAAAATTCCACCCTCCCATTGACCATTCCCGAATTAATGATGCATTCCAGCTTCTAGGGTCTCCGGGTGCCATTTCGTTTTTAGAATATTCTAAGCACGTTCATTCTCTCGCCGCGATTTTTTCACTGCATTCCTCTCAACTTCGCCAAAAAAAAAATTGTTCCAGTCATTCCTATTCATTTATTTTCGTATTTTTTATTTACAAACTCCATTAAACGACCACTAACGATGTTTTTCCCTTGTTCATTTGCTGTCAGTATAGTAATGATTGAAATGGAACTGATTTAGGGTGTCACCCATGTTTGGTAAACAGGATAGTAACCAAAATAGCAACTCAAAGTAGTAGTACAACTCTTGGGGGAAGTATCTGTCGAAAATTCCCGAATACCCAGGATTTTTTGTGGAGTTCCAGGAAGTTCTGGAAGAGTTGACCAGATCGAATCAAGTTTTCCGCCCTTCTTGTTTTGGGTTTCGAAGCTTTGGAACGGGGTGTGCACAGATCGCTAACAAGAGGCTTAGACCAAATACTTCACCCAAACGATGGGGTTCAGCTGCGGAATGGCCGGAAGAAAACGGTCGAGGGATATATCTCGAACATGAGGGAGCAGCGCGACTGTCAGGGAGCATGGGAGTCGGGTTGTGCACATCGAAGTGGGTAGTGGAAGTGATTTTGTGGACTTTCGAAAAAATCCAGTAAAAATCCGGACAGTTGTGAAAATTTCGGCAGATGCTTTCCAAACGGCTTAATAGTTAGCTAGATTCGTACTTATAGTCTTCTGTTTGCAATGTACTGATGCGGTGGCTTGTGACATTTGGAGACCCGATTACTTCATTGTTAGGTAAATTTTATTCACTCAGCCGAGCTGACGTAATAAATCAAAAACTTTTTTTATTACCGAAAGTATCAAGAATGTTGCTTGGCTCTCGGTCGTTTTCATTAATTTCGGCATTGATTCCATCAGGAACTTTTTGTGTTTCTTCTTTGGTCTTTTTCTGTCTGTCATTGCAGTAGGAACAGGTTTAGATGGTTACCTACGTCTGACTTATTGTATAGGGTCTATGTATGGATTGGTTTTTTAGACTGATTTTCCACTAAATTCTGGTAGATGATACTAATTGAACGACTGCATTCAAGGGAAGCTTCATATACGGTGGCGTCTATCCCAAAATCGATGCCCCTCTTTTTCTGTTCCATCTGTTGTCCTCAGGTGAAATGGCAGAAGGCCCATTTGTCATCCGCATGACTCGGATTGATCGAATCTTGCCTCGAAACATGAAGCGGCTTTGAAAAAAAAGGCTCATGACAAAGCAATACCACGGAGACAGCAAATCCAACTTGACTGCCTGGTATCTGCCTACCTCCAAATCAGTGTTCCTCCTTTAGAACAGGTTCATTACCCCTGTGAAAGCGACGGTGGACAGACTAGACGGAAGCGGTTTCGAGACTGGGAACACCGTCAAAGTAATGCGCTACAGAGGCTATCGTGACTCTCCCTTCCATCAGTTCAGAATCATACCAAACGATCAGCGCCAGGGATAAGTAGAGGAAGTAACAAAAGCTGTAGTAACAATCACTTCCTTTTTGGGCTGAGAATTGGGGCATTTATGAGTTATGTTCTGGTTTATGCTGTCTCGTAATGGTTCAGACATCCATGTGGTTGTCCCTTTGGCTGTTGATGTTTACATCCTCCCTCCTCGCTCGTGACCATGTTGCTGATGTGAAAGGTTCCCCTCGCCATGTAAAACGAGAATGTGATTCTTGGTAAACTCCTTTGTTGTGGATAACTTCTTGAAAATATGTTGTTTTTGGTGTCTACGGTAACTGGTATGATGGACACCTGCAGATTTGCATAGTGCACTTCGATGTTAATGGCCACTTTTCTATGGACAGCACTTTCGGCAGTGGCACTCAGAAGTTACCGGGCAACTTTACATTTTGGTGAAGAAATCTTGTGCTTCTATTTAGATTATCAATGTGACCACTGTCATCCTCTGTCTAGAGGGTCAGTGGCTTCAATCAATCCCAAATGAGCCCCACACTCGACTTTAACTCGGAGTCTTATGGGTGTTTTGAATGCGTACGCGGCCTATACAATAAATTGCTAGGGTGGAACTATTTTCATTCATTCGACGGCTCTGGTGTCATCTAACGAACTGCACCAACTATATGGCTTACTTGGGCTGAGCGAGTGGAACAGAGAATCCCGGATCACGCGTAGAATATTGCGCCTTTTGCCACCATACCACACCCACCCGTTTCATTGTCACCATCTGATTCCCAAATAGAACACTTTGTTTGACACCTGAACGTTTTTCTCGAACGATTTTGTCCCGTCTGATGATAAGAACTAAGGCGTGATCGACTAAATCGTATCATTTGAACCTTCTGTAATAAACGTCTCAAATGTTATCAGAAAGTGATAAGAGATCACTCGACGGCCTCATGGTTCACACCGATCACTGAGCGAGCAAAACATCGAACTGATAACGTGGGAATTATCATAAATTGCGATCCCTTTGGAAGATTGTGCCTCTACAGGTTGCCCCGTTGGGGTTTTTTACCTTATTACTGGGTCCTTTTGAGCAGGCCTTCCAGTTAAGGGCTGATTCCCACATGGGGTGGGTGATTGGTTCCAACAGGTCGCGGTAATGTGGATTCCATGCGCGAAAGTCATCAACTTCTTAGTTCGGAGATTTAGGGATCTACAGGTTTGGGATGAAACCTTCAAAAGGACGAGGTGGTTCCGAGAAAGCCGTTGTTCGTTACTTGAACCACCTCATCGTCAATTAGCAACGTTGCAAACGGCAAATTAACTTCCCGACCGTCGGTACAATGAAGTTTTCGCTATCTCTATGACAACAGCTTGCTTACTCTGTCGGATAGATTTCGAATCGTAAAAACTACCTCCTTCTCAGACAACAGAGCGAACAAAATGCTCTCCAGGGTTGTCCCCAGATTTGATAACATTGTAGGTATTTCATACGTTCATGATTCTACCTAACTAGTAGTCGGTTGTAAGGGTCCCCTTCATTTTCATCGAGTTTCCAGTAGATTACTTCTCTTCTGATCTCAAACGCCTTCAGATAGTCCTAGACAATGTGGGAGTTCACCATCTGCGTATCGGGATATTGGAATCGTTGCTTTCAGTTTTCGGAAGGAAACCCCGATATCTGAAAAGTTTGCTTAGCCGAATTAGAAAATAATTTCGTTGGACTTCCCCACTGATAACAGCTCCCGTAATCGCCAAGGCACGGCCATCGTGATCGTATTTTAAAACAGTACCCAGACAGAAAAAAAGCTGACTGGAGCGGGACCGTTGGAAAACTCGTCCAACTACCTGGAATGTTCCATCTGTTGATTCTAGGCACTTTTAACGGTTCTGATTTCTAGTCCTTTACAAAACGCAAAGATTCTTTACAACCTTAGAATGGCCGTAATATACTACTACTTTGTAGCGGTGTAGAATGTTTCAGGTTTGCCTTGGTGGCTTAGTTCTTTTGAGTATTTAAAGGTCTTCCTGCCCCAGTGTTCGTTTTTCATTCGGTCGTTAGAGCGCTTCTTCCGTTGGCTTCTCCATTAGTTCAGCGGCGTATCAAACAACTTGTGGCCATACTATTGGATGGGCCACTAGAATCATCCAGTGCTCCGCAAATTGATTGGTATAGTAAGGAGGTTCCTTTCAAAAGAGGATACCGCTTCTCAGCTAGGCTTTCTTCAAAAGGCCCGTCCTCCTTCTTAATATCGTTCAACCTTATATTCCCGCCACGATGAAGAATCAGTGGATTGTATTAAGCGGCTATACCACAAAGAGCATGTGGGAAAAGAGTGAAAGTCAAGTTATTAACAGTCTCGGGTCCTGTTCTGAGTGAGCAAATTGTGATTAAAGGAGAGGGACAAAATTCAGGCGGAGCGCGAACCAATCCACCCTGTACGTTCCCTGGATGGGCTCGATCAACTCCAAAGGCATTGCCCTTCATTTCTCAGCGTTTAGCGGCATTTAGTTGCTGTTTTAAACAGCCCAAATCGTTACACAAGAGGCAGTTGAGACCAGCGTTCTAGGTGTTTTTGCTGATCCTAAGCGAGATAGTTCTACGATGTTTTCTTCTTATGAAAGTACAACGATCTCCTCCATGTGATCGCTACGCGTCTGGACCTTTGGCGGCTACTTTTTTTGTAGAAATCATTTTTGACGAGGTTTTTCTGCTCCTTCAAGTTCTTCGCTATTATCTTTCGAACATCATCGACCAGCCAATTGTGAAATGAGCGCCTTAGAGAAAAAGAAACTTTTCAGATGTGGTCGTGGACGTGGTGGCTTGACGTCGTCAGTAATCCATTCGAGTACTGGAGCCTTTCATCACCGGAATTACCCAGTTCCGGTGTGATGTTGTGGTTAGTTGTGGTGGGTACTACCAAAGCCTACATAATTTTACGATTAAATATTTTCGTCTAAGTTTCTGAACGGTTGATTAACCAAGATAAGGGAAGCAGGGTGTGGGTGGCAAGGGCGAGAAAAGGACTTGGATGAAGGCCTTGATTGCTTCACAAAGACGGCTGAAGACACTCACTTCCTGAAAGCCTTGCAGCCGTTGGGCTAGGAATGTTCAGGGTCCAAGGACAACCGTAATCCTTTCGTTCAGCAAATATATGTCCTATGAAAGGAAGTTGTTCTACTTTGTTTGCTTTTGAAGACATGTATGGTGACGAATCGGTGGTCTATGGTCCCACCTGACGGGGAAATGCTTGTAACCATACCGAATTCACTGTTCTTGGCAACACTACGGTTGCGCCTCATTTGGGACCGTTAGAAAGTTCTCAAAGGCACGGGTTTGGATTTTTTTTGGGCTCCAAAGATGATAGGCAGTTTTACGGACCATCGCCAGTTTTCCTGAGTTATTGAATGGAAGGTTGGGTACAGTATAGGCAAGCATGCCCCGCTGTATTTTTACTGCTTGAAAAATACCATTACTGTTTTCGGTCTTTGAGTACCCACTAGCGGTTTGCCAGGCTGTGACCGAGGCCAGAACTAGCGATGCAGAACTTGAGATAGTTTTCGGACTATCTTGTCACTGGTCCATCCCTTGGTCTCCTTTAAAATCCGAGCAAGTGAAGGGTAGAGGCTCGCTCCGAATCCACTGGGGACCCATAGCTTTGCCTTCAACCTATACACTCGTAGACTGCAAAGAACTAAAGAGTTGAGTCAATCTCTCTGGTTATAGGCAGCGATTGTAATTCGATTTCTGCACATCTTCGGCTCACCTGCTGTACCCGAAGTGACGTTGTTGGAGAAATCCGAGCACACCGCTATGAAAAGTCTCATTAGTGGAATCGACATGCTAAAAGAACCGTGAGTTCTGTGACTTTTGTAAGACATGTGGTGTGAACTAACTCTTGAAACTTTTCTGAGGAGTATGCCAGTACATGGGAAGATAGTACATTCAGTAGTAAGGGTGGTAATTCACACGTATGATCTTATTCAGGAAGTAAGGGTGAAGGCCTGGTAGTCCCAACCCTCGACGGTATCAAATTTGTTGTCTCTCCGCGCCATCTCCTACAGTTAGTCGGACGTCCTAGCTACGTATTAGGTTGAGTCATAAGTCCTTGGACAAAGTGTTAGTGATG